CCTTCTGTGGGAATTCTGTACCGTTAGTGTCTGTGTTATATTACATGGTAGAAGTCAACAGTGCAGCTTAGCTTATTGTTAAAAAGTCCTCCTTCGTCTATTTGACTTAACTGAGTCAGGGAACAGGCAGCCGATGGACATTCGGGACCATGAACAGCTACATGTTTGATGGACAGCTGGCATTCAATGTAAACTATCAGCACCAGCGAAGGGTGAAGAGTTAAGAGTGAAGAAGGAGTGTAAAACATGGGAGGTGAAGACTGAAAAGCAAAGAGTGAAGAGTAAAAAAGGTACTACTTTACAACAAGACCCTTATAAACGAATTGTTTGAAATTAGATTATTAATGCTTATTAGTGCCCTGCGATGGACTGGTGACCTGTCCAGGGTGTATCCTGCCTTCCACCCAATGATTGCTGGGATAGGCTCCAGCTCCCCCTGCGACCCAGAATGATAAGCGGCTTAGAATATGTGTGTGTGTGTGTGTGTGTGTGTGTGTGATGGTTGATAATTAGGCATTAACCCTTTAAATTAAGGGGTTTAACCCCTTAAAATCTCAGGCTTACTGCATACTAAAGCCTATTATTCAGTAACTGCAGGGACTTCAGTGCAAACTGGCTGAGCTGTTCTTAAGTTATTGCCTCTATATAAAAGTTTGGGCCCACCTGTGGACCCTGGCCATTTAAGGGGTTAAAATAATCAAAATGCGGTTAAGACATAAATAAAAAGGCATAAATATGAATATCTGATGAAGCTCACAGGTTTAATATTGATGAATGGAGAAGGCAAAGTTAGATAAGTAACCAGCAAAATCTGAGCTTTAACAGTATAGATAAAGATGTGCTCACTATTTAGCAAGTAACAGGCCAACGCCTTTTTTATTTACTGCTCATTAATGATTTTTAGTGTTCATGACCTCATTAATGATTATTAATAAATGAAACCATTAAGAATAAAAAGTTCAGAGGAAGGCTACAGAGCGAAGAGTAGAGAGTGAGGAGTAAGAATTAAACAGTAAAGGGTGAATAACTAAGAGATATGAGAGAAAAGTACAAACTGAAGAGTAAAGAGGGAAGATTAAAGTGTAAAAAGAGATGAGTAAAGAGTTCAAAGAGTACTGAAGTGTGTATATATATATATATATATATATATATATATGTATCGAAGAATAAGGAGTAAACTTTAAGGAGTGCCTATTAAAGGGTGAAGAGTGACGGTTAAAGAATAAAGCCTGAAGAGAAAGATAGGAGTGAAGAGTGCTGAGTAAAGAGTAAAGGAAGAGTAAAGAATAAAGAGCATGTTTCTTAAATGAGTATTCTTCAGGGCCGGGATGTAGCGGAATACAAGTTTTGGGAAAAGGTATTCCGAATACAGAAATTAAGTATCTGTATTCCAAGATACATTTTAAATTTGTAAAAGCTAATATTCAGAACACAGTTACTTTTCTGAATACTTTTAGAATATGTGTCCACTAAATTAAAAAAACAAAATTAATGCTTCTTCTTGATCTATTTTAGAATCCCCACACAACATGTAGCAAACAGGCTTGCTAGACGGGCTCTGAAGAGAACCTCAATTAACGGCTTCTTTACCAGCACGGTTCCTACTAAAGCCTGAGTAGACTGATAAATCAATGTGATGATAAATCTCAGTGGGCTGATGGTAAAGATTGAATAAAACATTCCCTGATCAGTAATCAATAAACTAAACATTGGCTGACTAGAGAGCCTCCTAATAATGTAATATAGGGACTGTATGCAGCAGACTCTCTAACGGGGAGAGTTTCTGGGCCCACAGATGAGAGCTGTGCCAGATGATAGTTTAAGTTATAGCTACACTCGTGTACGTATATGGAGGGCTGTGTGAGATGACCCTATGGAGAGCTGCACAAGAGGGCTCTGTTAGGAGGGAACAGTCTGGTAGGAGTCAGACCAGAATGGGTTTTTAAAAAAAAAGACATACGGTTTTAAAGACTACCAAAAAAGGTGTAAGGTTTGGACATGATGGGGACTAAAATGGTATGGAATTGTGTAAATGGGGTGGGGAGATCACCTCATCACCCCAGAGGGGAATAAAAAGGGATGTTGTGAGATGTTATTCGCATTGTGGTTGACCGGGAAGCATCTTGCCATACGATGCTCAATAAATCTAAGGCCTTTTCCCTCCTGTCCATAAGAACTCAGCGGCTGAAGTCTTTTTCATTCCTTTTTATCCTTTTTCATTTTTGTTGATATTCTTTGATTCTTTTCATTCTTTTTGAAGACATTAGATTACAGACAGCTATTGGGGCAAATAGTATAGATAATATTAGAGTTACTTATAAATGTCCAGACCCTGGGCAAAAAGAGAGAGCTCTTGGTTGCGACAGGCCTCATTCCCCAACCGTTCTGAAAAAGAAATTTCTTCTTAAAACCCACTTTTTACGAAGTTTTTACGAAGATTCTGACATTCAGCAATGTGTTCTTATTTGGGATTTGTTCACAGGTAAGAACTGAATCTACACACAGTCAAGAGCACAAAGGTGAGAACAATCCTGAGAATTAAGAACGGACTTTTTCTTAGAACCTTTCTCAAGAACACACATTTCCCTTCCCTTTTCTTTTGAAGGAAGATCAAACACCCTGCTGGGGGACTGTGGCAGCAGCAGTGGACTGAAAAAGACGATGAGAGAAAAAGACCGAATTTTTGGAGCCTCATTTAAATGATAAGTGGATTTTTCATAAGTAAAAGAAGAAACTTGCCAACCAGTTACAGCGAGGAACAGTGTGAACTACCACGATGTTTTGTAAATGTATTGCAAATGTATTCTAAATACACTACCTTTGTATTTATTGTAGCAGAATATGTTACTGAATACTTTCAGGACAGTGTATTCAGTACTCAGCCATAACCATGAGTGCTGAGCTGAAGCAACAGTGAAAGGATCTGTTTGTGTTTTGCTTTGTGCTGGAGCAGTTTTACAGGTTCGCCTAGAGGGGGCACTGATGAGGCATTTACACATTCACTAATAAATGCTCTCAGCCTTTAAACAACAATCTATTACAATGTTAAACATTAAATCTTATTTTTTATTTACGCATTTTATAAAACCGGGCCCTCAACCTTTCATCACCACACAACAAGAGACTGACGGGTGCAGTGTGGAACACATTATATGAGTCTCTGTAAATAATTAACAAAGATGGTTCTTCAACGGCTCTTTAGTAAAGAAATTATTCTATGTAAAACCATGAACACTCAAAGGACCCTTTGCATGATTAAAGGGTTCTTTGCATCATGAAAGCGTTCTTCAGAATGATAGAGAATGTGCTGTAGATGGTTCTATGTGCTATAGATGGTTCTATATAGAACCTTTTTGAAAAGGCTTCCTCTATTGTTTTGATGTCAAGCTTGTAATAATAGAAGAACCCTTTTTGGTGCTGTAGATGGTTCTATGTGCTATAGATGGTTCTATATAGAACCTTTTTGAAAAGGGTTCCTCTATTGTTTTGATGTCAAGCTTGTAATTATAGAAGAACCCTTTTTGGTGCTGTAGATGGTTCTATGTGCTATAGATGGTTCTATATAGAACCTGTTTGAAAAGGGTTCCTCTATTGTTTTGATGTCAAGCTTGTAATAATAGAAGAACTCTTTTTGATGCTGTAGATGGTTCTATGTGCTATAGATGGTTCTATATAGAACCTTTTTGAAAAGGGTTCCTCTATTGTTTTGATGTCAAGCTTATAATTATAGAAGAACCCTTTTTGGTGCTGTAGATGGTTCTATGTGCTATAGATGGTTCTATATAGAACCTTTTTGAAAATGGTTCCTCTATCGTTTTGATGTCAAGCTTGTAATAATAGAAGAACCCTTTTTGGTGCTGTAGGTGGTTCTATGTGCGGTAGATGGTTCTTTATAGAAACTTTTTGAAAAGGGTTCTATGTTCTTCTATCATTACAAGCTTGACATCGCAACAATAGAAGAACCATTTTTGGTGCTATATAACCCTTTTCAGAAAGTTCTATATAGAATCATCTACAGCACATTCTCCATTAATCTGAAGAACGTTTTCACGATGCAAAGAACCCTTTAATCAAGGTTCTTTGAGCATTCATGGTTCTGTACAGAACCATATTCTTTACTAAAAAACCCTTGAAATATATATATATATATATATATATATATATATATATATATATATATATATAGTCAATAATAAATATATAATAAATAATAAATATATAATAAATATGCACTTTTTTGTTTTATTAAATTGATTAATTCAATTTCACAGCAGATCATCAAACAATAACACTCGCTTGTAACAGCACTTTGTTGGTGGTTCTCGCTGCTGGGCTGTAATTGAAGGCTGTGCCTTTAAAGGCTCGCTGGAATAGTCGCGCGGTGATGGTCTGGGCGCTCTCGAGCAGCATTTCTGCCAGACCTCTTCACTCGGGGAGACCCTCAGCTTAGAGGAGCTGAAGCCCCTTTATTATAACCAGCTCTGAACGGGACGTTTCATATTGGAGAGCGAGGATCTCCGCAGATCGCTGGAGGAGAGGAAGGCGGCTCTGCTGCTCCGCTCACAGACAAAACCAAGCGCTGCCCGCCTTGTTTACCAGCGAGAAACGACACGGAGCACGAGGGACGACGAGGCCCTGCAGACCAGCGACAGGAAGGCGCGTTTATGATGGGTGGATGAGGAGAGAAGCACCAAGCAGCCTCTTCAAAACGGTGGATTAAAAGACCCCCCGCCTCATCCGCCCCCCCAGCGCCAGCGCGTCTGCTCTAAACGCGACGACACACAAGAACGACCTCGTTTTCTCGCGGCGGATCAGAGAGGCGGGCTGCAGAATCGCGATCGCCGTTCAAACAGAGCCTTGAGCGTCAATTCTGCGTCGTGACTATGACCGCGCGCTGATTTCAGCGCCTGCTATTGTGACCGACCCTGCCGAGGCACGGGACCGTGGGGCGTCGCGCGCTACTTGATGTTGGATCCCGTAGCCCCGGCGCGGCTGCTCGGATGGCGAACGCGAGCGACCCCGGCGGCCCGCCGCTGCCGCTGCAGGACTCGGTGCAGCTGGCGGCGCTCGGCGCGATGCTGTGCGCGAGCGTGGCGGGGAACGCGCTGCTGTGCGCGCTCGTGTTGAAGGACAGCGCGCTGCACCGCGCGCCCTACTACCTTCTGCTGGACCTGTGCGCGGCGGACGCGGCGCGCGCCGCCCTCGGTTTCCCCGTGGCCGCGGCGACGGCGACGGCCGGGGCGCGCGGGCGCCCGTGGGCCTGGACGTGGACGTGGGCGCACGCGTGGTGCCGCGCGGCCGCAGCGCTCGCCGCGCTCTTCTGCTTCCACGTGGCCTTTGTGCTGCTGGCCGCGAGCGTCACGCGTTACCTGGCCATCGCGCACCACCGCTTCTACGCCAAGCGCGTGACTCCTTGCGCGTGCGCGGCGCTCGTGGCCGCCGCGTGGGCGCTCTCGGCCGCCGCCGCGCTGCCGCCGGCGCTGGAGGCGAGCGCGGGGGCGTTCCCGCGAGACCCCGAGCACTGCGCCCTGGGCCACGCGCCCGCTCGCGCCGGCGACGCGCTGGGCCTGGCGCTCACTCTCGCGTGCGTGGTGGGCGCCACGCACGCCGTGTACGCCAAGATGCTGTGCTTCGTCTACGGACACCGGAAGATGAAGCCCGCGCAGCCCGTTCCCGCGGTCAGCCACAACTGGACGTTCCACGGACCCGGCGCTACGGGCCAAGCGGCCGCCAACTGGATCGCGGGCTTCGGCCGAGGGCCCACGCCGCCCGCGCTGGTCGGAGTTAGGCAGGCGCCGCGCGACGCCGGCCGCAGGCTCCTCGTGCTCGACGAGTTCAAGACGGAGAAGCGCATCGGGAAGATGTTCTACATGCTCACGCTCGCCTTCCTGCTGCTGTGGGCGCCCTACGTGGCGGCGTGCTACGCGCGCGTCTTCGCCGAGGGCGGCGCCGTGCCGCACGTCTACCTCACCGCGGCCGTGTGGCTCACGTTCGCGCAGGCGGCCGCCAACCCCATCATCTGCTTCGCTTTCAACAAGGAGCTGCGCGTGCGGCTCAGGGCCTGCTTCCCCTGCTGCGTCACCACACAGACCCCGATGGAGCCGTACTGTGTGATCTGATCAGAGAGAGACCGGCCTGCACAAACTCTCCACGCGCGACTTCTTCCGCTGTTAGACTCTTAATTATGGCAAAACATTATCGCGAATATCGACACGCTGTTGGTTCCTTTGGACGGATGCAGCCTGCTTGCCCTAGTGTGGTATTTTGGGTATTGTATGGACACCATTTGGTATTTTGGGTACTATATGGGTACAGTTTGAAGGGTAAAGTTTGATATTTTGGGTAATGTACAGTTTGGTATTCTGGGTACTGTATGGGTATACATTGTTATATTGAGTACTGTATACATACAGGTATCTCGAGTACTATGGCACAGGGTGGTATTTTGGGGTATTGTAAAGTTTGGCATTTTGGGTACCATTTGCATACAGTTTGGTTTTATGGGTAATGTATTGGTACAGGGTGATATTTTGGGGACTGTGGGTACAGTTTGGTATTTTGGGTACTGTGGGTACAGGGTGGTATTTTGGGGTGTTGTATAGTTTGGTATTTTGAGAACTGTTTGCATACAGTTTGGCATTAAGGGTATTGTATGGGTACTGGTTGGTATTTTGGTATACAGGTATCTCGGATACTATGGCACAGGGTGGTATTTTGGGGTATTGTATAGTTTGGCATTTTGGGTACCATTTGCATATAGTTTGGTATTATGGGTACTGTATTGGTACAGGGTGATATTTTGGATACTCTAGGTACAGGGTGGTATTTTGGGGTAATGTATGATTTGGTATTTTGAGAACTGTTTGCATACAGATTGGCATTATGGGTACTGTATGGGTACAAGTTGGTATTTTTTTACTCTATAGGTACAGTTTGGTATTTTGGCTACAGCCTTATCTAGAGTACAGGTTGTTTTTTGGGTATTGTATGAGTACAGCTTGTTTTTTTGGATACTGTAAAGTTTCATATTTTGGGAACTGTATAGTTTGGTATTTTGGGTATTGTACAGCTCAAAAACGTGTAACTATTTATTTATTTGATTTTTTTTAATTTGTATCATGACAAATGGTCCAGTAGAAATGCTCCAAAATAGGACAATTACCTGAAATAAAATTTTAACTACATTTACATACAAGGCATTTTTCCTTTTACAATAAAGTAGTATTGTCTAGGATATAAAAGCATTTTGAGTTATAAAAGAGTTATAAGCTTTCAATACGACAGTCACATTATATTGGCTTATTGTTGGATAAGGTTTGGCTACTTTTGGTATGTTTGCTGCAGTTTGGTATTTTGGGTACTACATGGATATATTTTGGAATTTTTAGGTATTTTGGGTACTACATTGGGTAGAGTTTGGTATTATGGATATTTGGGATACTACATGGGTACAGCCTGGTATTTGGGGTACTACATTGGGTAGAGTTTGGTATTTTGGGTATTTGGGATTGTACATGGGTACAATTTGGCATTTTGGGTATTTGGGGTACTGCATATGTACAGTTTGGTATTTTGGGTATTTGGGGTACTACATGGGTACAGTTTAATATTTTGGGTATTTTGGGTACTACATGGGTACACTATGGAATTTGGGATATTTGGGGTACTGTATAGGTACAGTTTGGTATTTTGGGCGTTTGAGGTACTATATAGGTACAGTTTGGTATTTTGGGTATTAGCATACTACATGGGCACAGTCTGGTAAGAGTACACCCTTATGTTTTTTTAAGGGTCCATTATTAACTGTAATTGATATATACAGAACTGTGAACACTCAAAGAACAATTTGAATGCATAAATGGTTATTTATATAATTAAGTGGCTCTTCTCTATGATGGAAAACGTGTTGTACGTGATTCTTTAAAGAACTCTTAATTGGTTCTATATAGTACCAAATTGGGTTGTAATTGTTACAATTTATGGAACCTTTTTTGGAATCATGTAGAATCCTTTTTGCAAAGAGTGTACAGTTTGACAGATTGGTATGTTGGCCATTAAACACCTGACAAACATTCTACACAAATAAGTCAACCACTGCATATCACAAAATGCAAAATCTGATGTATTCTGATGTAAAATATGTATGATATTGCATTTATATTCTCTAGTTCTTTATATGGGATATGCTGAATATGTAATATGTTTGCTAAGACCCGGTCATTTTTGTGAACGCAGTGTCAGAAGTCTTTTTACCGATGGATCATATGGACTTCAGTGTGGACAAAGCTTCCACACCTTCTTCTTCCCTATAACTCTGCATAAGAACTGTTTTATATATGGACTTGACTACATTTGGTTTTCAGTTGATGAATGGATTAGTGGGAGGAATTTTCATTGTATGTTTTTTGAATCAAATAAAAGCAGATTGATTAGCATGTCGTTTTGGTTTGACGTTGCTCAGAACAGCCTATGAGAGCAAATCATTCTTACACCAGTCAGACTGATTTAATAATAACATTTTGTTCTGGATGTTGATCTGTGCTGATACTCAGAGACAGATGCTCAGATCTGCTGTGAAGGGTTATGGGTGATGTTTCAGCTAAATCTTTTGGATGCACTCCCACTCATTACCTACCGCCAGCCCCCCTCAGACAGTTACATAATCCACAGCACTGCTTTCCTCTGTCTGCACTCATCACTCCAAACAACGTGTTTGTTTTTTTTTTGCTGTGCTCTTGCATCTTGACTTGACAGTATATAGACAGCGTTTGGAATGAACAAAGCTGTTTACTGGAGAAGAAAAATAAAAGAAGGCATTGTCATGGAGATGACTATGAAACTGAATTAATGATGCATATGCTTGGGGCTGTACTGCTACGAAAGCATTATACACTCTTGAAAAGAAAGGTTCTATGGAGGGATGGCATAGAAGAACCCCTTTTCCTAAAGAATATTTCAATGGAAAGAACTGAGGCCCACTTACGATACTTGTGGAATTTTATGTCCCAAACAGTTGTAATTTCTTTTTACATGACCGTTTTCAAGCCTCTCTTTATCCCTTGGAATTAAATAGGCTGTTTTTGTTGTTGTTCCTTTAAGATTGATATATGTAAATGAGCTCCGTTCTGATTGGCTGCTCTATATTGTGTCTCATTTAAAAAGCACCTCAGGCTGAAACACTCTTTATAACTTCTGTGAGGGTGGGAGGGACCTAAACTGCAATAGGCTGAGTAGGCAGATATACCATATATAAGCCTGTTCATTCTTGTGACATCACAAAAGCAATGAATATAAAACAGCTTACTTTCAATATACGGACTGAACAGATTGAGGAGTGAATATTACGTCAAACTGTTTGGTATTTAGGGTGCTACATGGGTACAATTTGGTATTTTTGTGTATTTTGGGTACTAAATAGGTACAGTTTAAAATTTTGGGTATTTGGGAGAGTACATGGGTACAATTTGGTATTTTGGGTATTTGGAGTACTACATGGGTACAGTTGGGTATTTTGGATATTTGGGGTACTACGTAGGTACAGTGGATATTTGGGATACTATATGGGTACATTTGGGTGTTTGGGTACTACATGACTGCAGTCTGGTATTTGGGGTACTACATGGGTACAGTACAGTATTTTGGGTATTAGGGTACTATATGGGTACAGTCTAGTATTTTGGGTATTTGGGGTACTACATGGGTACAGTTTGGTATTTTGGATATTAGGGTAGTACATGGGTACAGTCTGGTAAGAGTACACCCTTATGTCTTAGAAAGGTCCATACATCTATAATCTATACATCCATTACTTTATGGTTTAAAGCCTCCCCCTAAAAAGTGCTTAAATATGTAGGTTCTTAAATGGTTCTGCGCTTTGACGTAGGGTTATAGAAAAAAACAGGGTTTAATTGGTCTAGAACTTTATACAGATATTCTTTGATCTTTGACTGTAAGGTTCTGTAAGGAAACAAAAGTAGTTCTTCTGTGGTATCTCCCCAAC